ATGCTAGCATTTATTTTTTCATTCTCAGTTAAAACTATCTGCCAAATTCACCTTAATAAAGGTAATCAAGATAAAGAGAGAATTTTTTGTCAACAATACAAGAAAATATTGGATAGAGATAAGTTAAAAACTTAAAAAGGAATGTACCTTACATTTGACAAAAACATCAAGATGTTGAAATTTCTTCGCCATTTCTCTCAAAAGCTGACTAAACAGAATATTTTGGAAAGGCTTCTTGACTGAACCAAAAACTTTTCAGTACCCCCACCATATATCATTTTAATTATTTAAAATCTTTTTTTCAAAACCTCCTGACACTGGATTATTTTTACAGTGAAGAATCTCATCAGCCACTCCAGTCTTCAAAACAATCTATGAATCTACCCAGAAAAAATAAATTTCTTGTATGCTATCTCACTGACTGCTCTTAGTGGTAAAAAAAAAAAAAAAAAAAAGTTTCTCTTAGTAATTTTTGTCTATGTAAGCTTATTTTAGTCATTTTAAAATATCCAATGTATTAAAAGGTTAGTGATATAAATATAGAAAATAGATTTGTTGAGATGGAAGGAAATACTGAGATCCAAGACAGAAAATAATTGAACACCAAAACTGATACAAAATATTAACATCATTGAGTACATTTAACCAAATTTTGAAAACATAGATGAATACTATTGAGTATTTTAGATACTTATTTTTTTTATTCCTTTATAATCTAATGAAGTTTTAATAAAAGTGTAATGTTAGACTGATAAACATTTCCTATTTCTTTATTCTATCATTGTCAGATTCTGATCTGTATTTGATCCCAATTTATGCCTTCACCATTATTTTTAATATCTACTAGAACAGTAGAAAATGCAATACTTTAAATTCTTTAAAAATTTTCATGTATTAAGTTCAAGGCCTACACTTTTAACATAATATTGTTTACTGTTTCATGACCAATTTCTTTCTACCCATTTCTTCCCTTAAGGTCTATAAATTCAAAGCAGCCTCAATCTGAACATCAGTACAATTTCAACAGTTCCCAGAAGCAACAATGACCTTGCCTGTATCACATGATATTATAAAAAAAAAAAAATCTTCCTAAGAATTCTATTTGCTTTTCAGGCCTTTGTGTTATGGATGTATTTTTACCAGGAATTTATTGTCATTTTGATATTAATCTTTTTTTAATGCATTTATAAAGTAACTATTGTCCTCTTGAACACTTTCAACATACATTATCAAATCAGAGATCACAGTTAAAACCAAACCATGTGTACATCTCCTGTTCTACATGTATTTACATCCTAGAAAATGTCTTTTTTGCATATGAATAAATCAGATTGTTAATAGGTGAGGAAGGATTACATCTCTTTGCATGTGTGACAGGGGACACTGGTGGAGAAAAAAATTCTATGTGAAAAAGCCTGAAGAATAAAGAAAAAGAATAAAGAAAAAAAAAAAAAAAAAAAACAACATCAAGTGAATACCAATCCTAACTTCAGTTCTTTTTCCAAATTAGACAAATCCCTAACTCACAATCATATCAAAGTAGATATGCTCAATGAATCTAATCTGCTTCACATTGTGGCAAAAGAGAAAGTCACTTACAAAGAAAAAGGGCACACATGTGTTCTGTAAGACATTCCAAAGATAAAATAAGCACAATAGAAACAAGTCAGTGGCAACTGTTGTCATAAATGCATCTCAGATATGCTAATGTTTGTTCTTTCCAACCATTGACTAATAAAAAAAAAAAAAAAAAAAAAAAAATTAGTCTGTCAATAAAAGCAGTTCTGTTCTGAAACTGGAAGACAGTTTCTTTTTCTACCTTGTCTGTTGACTTGCAAATGACAGTTGCCTTGTGCATTGAATTTCTAACAGGATACATGTCTTGGGATTTTTGACATTGAACCTGCAATTTGTGCTTTCAACATTTCTTTCTGCATCTTTGAGTTTGGACTTGTGATTTGTTTATTTCATTTTGTAATTGAGCTGCCATATCAATTTCTGAATACAAAGATAAACATTCCCATAGGTATGAGCGGTCAGTGTAAAAGACCAAGTGAAAAAGCCAGACTTTATTTTCAAGCTAGTAACCAAGCCATGCCAACATGGAAGACTGACATAACAATCCATCTCTATATCCCTCAAGCTAAGCTGAAAAGTGTCTATACCTAATGAACCTACAAAAATAGGTAGTCTTGAATACATACCTTAATTTTATTGTCCTGGTATAGTGATTTTTTGATACTGTTTGCATAAAGATAATGTTAGTAAAATATTTTATGAAAACAACTATCCCCTTTTAGCAAACCATATAAGAAAAACTGATGTTGATACAAGAACTGCTTTTATATTTATTTAACAAGAAATTTCAAGCAATAAAAATGCATTTAGCTCTAGCAAAATTCAAGATTGTAATAATTTTCATAGTTATATCTAGTAACAATTTTATGTGAATGTATGTTTAAATTTAAATGTGTAACAAAAAAAAAAAAAAAAAAAAAAAGTAAAAGAAAATTCAACAAGTATATAAACTAAAGTGAAACACCCAAAAATTAGAACAGTATCTGATGGTTTTGTGTTTCTGTTTATAGAAATGAACTCGGCCAGACGATTATATATATATATATATATATATATATATAAAAAACAGTATAGCTACAGCAGACATTGGATGTGGACAAGATTTAATCTTGTCCACAGTGAACTTGGAGCGATTGTTTGGACCAGAAAGCTGAGTATCATCTCCAAGGTGGCATTTACTCTAGGTTTTTCTCAGGCAACAGTAGCAAGGGCATATCAGGACCATGTAAACTGTATATCAGCAGTATGAGAAAAGTGAGCACCCACAGATGATACAAGCACAGTGGTCACCAAACAAGCTGATCGTGGCTCTGTAAAACTGTTGAATAGGTTCTATTAAAGTTTAAAAGGGGTCATTAGCAAAACTGTCTTGGCAGGGGGGGTCATGCACACAGATCTTGTTACAGACCATCTGTAATCACTTCTGATCACTAGGTTTTCCAATGTTAATTTCTCATCAAAATAACAACATTCCATTATGTATGTTTGGCACAAAACTGTTTTCAAGAACATCTGGCTAACTTCCAAGTGCTCCACTGACCCTCATGCTTGCCAATGAGCATGTTGAAGATCTCATTAAATTCCCTGTAGTTACACCCACAAACAAACAACTCATTTACAGACAGCACAGACTATGAACAGCCTTGGAACATAGCTGGATATATATTCCTATTCAAGAACTCCAGCACCTTAAAGATTCCATGTTGCATAGCCGCCATTATTCACGCAAAGGGAAATCTATGTCACTAGGTAGCTAATGTCAACACTTCTGCTTAAAGTAAGCATTGGAGGCCTGCTAAAATATTATCGGAAAAGTAATATTTACTACGAGTCATTGTTTCGAGATTGGGAATAAATATGCAGATATGTAAAAAGGAATTATTGCTTCATCGATATCAATTTAAGCCAAAGTCTGTTCATGTCTATATTATTGAAAGATGATGATTGTTCAAAGAATTATAAGCTTGCATCATTAAGTGATAAACCTTCACCTAACGGAGGTTCAAATTTAAGGAATTTTTAGATAATTGTTCCAAAATGGAGGGGATGACACCCACATCTAACAATCTTAAATTTGACTTGTATCCTGATTCGTCAGAAAAGGCAAAACCCTTTTAAAATTTTGTAATCCCTTTCCCCCTCCAACTTAAACTACATAATACTATTTAGCTTAAAAAAGTAAATCCTTTTTGTAAAAGGTATTCAACATAGCTTGAGAATGGAACAAAAATTTTAAATTTGGAAGTTTAGTTTTTAGTTCGGAAACAATTTCTGTGTCGTGATGAATACATTTTTAAATAATAGTATTATAATATCCTGCTCTGCTGCATAACAAGCACTGGTTTTAAAAAATAAATGCTAAATAACTGGATTATAAATCTGACTGTTCTTTTTTATTTTGCGATTATATATATATATATATATATATATATATATATATATATATATATATATATATATATATATATGTATGTGTGTGTGTGTGTGTGTGTGTGTGTGTACACACACTATGTCTACTCATTAAATGACCATAAACATCTATGTTATTGTCATAAATAAAAGCAATCAGTTATATATTTTTCCCATAGACATGGCAAACAAGATCTTATGGCAGTGTCATTTCTATAGGTCTTTCTCAAGGCCAGAGCTCCGGTACATCTTCATGTGTCTTGTTAGACCAGATCATCTTTTGCAGACTTTTCTGCACTTCTCACATGTCATATGATTGATGTCAAGGAATACCTCTTAGTTGATTAATGGTCTCTCAGCACACATACAGATTTGCTTCTTCATCCTTTGGCATTATGGTTGCTGCTTTTCATTAAAAGATAATGCCAATTTAGAAACCTACAAACAATTTATCAGTGTTTGTTGTCAATGTTATCACCACCATCACTTCTTGTGACCTTCATTGGTCTGAAGCCTTATTCTTTAGAAAGAGTTTGCAAAAATAAAAGCCTCTAATTATAAAACTGATCCTTACAAAAATGTTTTAGATCTGAAACCTTAGACTTATTACACAAGAGGCTCAAAATTGTTGAATCGGTTTAAATCAGCAACCATTTGACATATTTTAAAAGAAAATTCAGAATCTAACTGTAAACTATGATTCCAAAATGAATTCAAGTTTTCTTACATAATGACCTCACCTTGTTGAATAGTTCATTTCAGTAAATGATAAATTTGGAAACCAGCTATTAGATAAAAATGTAGATAAAAAATAAATCTTTGCCAGTTGTCAGATAATTAGTATAGAAACCTATATATGATGGTTTATTTCTGGTGAAGCTTGTGCATTTATTACAATGCATGCAAATTAAAGAGATGCTCTTTGTGAAGTCTATTTTCTAATAAAAACAGGCCAAAGCCATTTTTTTGTTGCTCCCAATGTAAATGCAACTGCTAATAATACTCATTGATATTAAACACTGGTTACCGTATGATCACTGAAGTTAAGCAACATCAAGCTTGGTCAATACCTAGATGGGCAACCACTTGGGAATACCAGGTGCTGTAACTTGGATGTGCAAGTGATGTAATGGATAGTGGCTTGGAATTGTTAATGAGAGAACCAAGATCCAATTGGGTTCATGTGTGTTGTGGTGTAATGGATATTGGCTCAGAGTGAGAACTCCAAGAGCAGAGTTCGAATTCCAGTTGAGTTCGTTAGATTTACTTGTGCACAAATAACCTCAAGAAAGGTATGAATCCATCTTTCTGCCTCTAGCTATGGGTTGAATAGCAGGACAGTCTGGGTTCTTTAGCCTTGTTTGGTAACCAGTCTACCGCAGTAAGAAATGGCAACCTACTGCAGGAAAAAAAATTGCTTTGTCAGTCAAGTATCTTTCAATACATGATTGACCAAGTGTGTATCATGTATGGGACTTAACTGACCGATTGATATTCACTTACATGCAAATACACCTGGGGAAAAGTATGAATTCACCTCTTTTTCCTCCAGTTAAGGGTTAATGAATAAGACTTATCACTAAAACCATTATTTCATTACTTTTAACTAGTAATAAAACTTCAGTTTAGGGAATAAACAAAAAAAAGGAATAGCTGAAAATGCATAATTGGTATTTCATTTTTAACTTGTACATATCAAAAGTAGTCAAATATAAATTTTAACTTGTACATATCAAAAGTAGTCAAATATAAATGCTAAAACAAAAACACATGAAAATCTAATGTTTTAATTTCAATCAATGAAAAGTTTTCATGAATTGAACTCCAGCAATTTTTTTTTTTAAATAAAATAAAAAAAAAATTTAAAAAAATGCTCTTTTAAATTTTCATTGATGCATAGAATGAAGAGAAACAAAGTAGCCAGTGGAAATGAAGAGTAATCACCAACATTAAATACAATCACAGTAAATGTCCTAAAAGTGTGCAGTGTGTGTATATATATATATATATATATATATATATATATATATATATATATATATATATATATATATATATATATATTATAGAGGGAGAGATATAGAATATAGTTTAAAAGTATGTTATATTTATAAGGTAAATTTATTAGCTTAAAAGATTACATGAAATAGTCACCATTTGGTGTTGAACTGTATGCACACTGTATGTGCATGTGGGGTGGTGTTATGAGTTTCGTTAAAATGACTGACAAGATACTGTGGCCAAGATTTTTTTATTTAATTTTTCTTGTGTTTTTATAATTTCTTCTTTTCTAGACATAAATTATGTAGAAATTGTCTGAATGTTCTGTATGTTCGAGAGCTTTCAGTTATACTTTTAGCCACTATCAAATATGATTTTATTTTTACTTTTAACTGAATGCATGGATATTTTATGCAAGTATATATATATATATATATATATATATATTGTAACAGTAATTTCATCTAACTAGAAAGATATTCAAAAGTTGATCCAAGTTCAAGAAATTACAGTTAAATTGCCTTGCATCATCTGGGGGAGGATATATTTGTAAGAAAAATAAAACATTGTTTATTCAAGTTCTTGCTATGAGAAAAGTGAAAGGTCAATGTTGTTTTGCAACTTATCAGTTGGGCTGTGTTCATAGAAAGTAATGGTCATGTGTATGATTAGCAGGATCTCAAACAAGTTACAGAACCACATGACACAAATGATGAAACCATCAACTAACCCCCCACTGCAAAAATAAATAAAAATTTGACATGCTATTTTAAAAACAAAATTTAAGAGAGGTTTAAAAAAAAAAAAAAAAAAAAAATTAAATCAGTAAGATATTTGAGTTGACAAATCAAAATATTTCAGTCATCAAAGAATGAAACTTAATAAATTTCAGGTTTCCCATGCCAAGATCTCATGCAGAATATTACCACAAACACACAAATTTGTTTTTAGTAAAATTTACTGTATTATTTTAAGGAAGAAAATTGAAATACTGTTGCTGAAGTGTGGGTTAATTTCTAATTACTTTTTTCTTTCATCTTTAATTTATTTGGTTAAAATGTAGTTAAAGGAAAAAATTATTTAATGCAATTAATAGTAAGAAAAAGACAAATTACGAGATGTTAAGGGTTCATTTTAACTACTGTATTTAACAGCAGCTAAGGTGCACATTTTTTTATTTTTTTTAATAAAAATATCTTTTAAAATTCCCCTGTATCTTATATGTCACATGTAGGTTTACTAATTTTACTAATTACTAATTTTTTCTTGATTTGCCTTGCTGAAATTGGGGTGCGTCTTATATACCATCAAATATGGTAATTCATTAAGTATTAAAGCTATTCTTTTTTTCAAGATGAGTGTGTGCTTAATAGAATAATCTTGGTTTAGGTAAGTCAAAGATATTGTGACAATCTATGCCCTCATTATTGTAACGCTTACCCCTTTTGATCATCACATTATATACATCCAAAGAAAATACCAATTTTTATTTCTGGAAATAATTTCAATTTATTATGATAGTGTTGAGACACTGTAAGACACCTGAAAAACAGTTACTAAAGTTTTAGTGTTTATTAAAAGGTTTTGTGAACTCAATATAAAATAATAAGTTGTACAAAAATTAGATCAGAGTTAATGAATGCATTATTTTAAACCTTAGAGAATTAATTAACTACAAATTAAAAAAAAAAATAAATAAATAAATAATAAAAAATAAGATTTTAAATTTTTTTTTTTTTCCTGAGTGTTTTGTCACACACCCAAGTTCATAATGTATGTGTTTAAATTATTTATTCAACTGATTTCTTTAACAGTAACAATTTCAAAACTCAAAAATATGTCTTAACCAAGATCATTATACCACGAAACTTTAGCAAAAATTTTTATAGAAAGGCAATTTAAAAAGAGAATATGTCAGCCAATAGAATCAAATAATAGAAATGATAAAAAAAAAAAAAAAAAAAAAAGTTGTGATTTGAAAATCTAATATTACAGTGAAAATTAAAAACAAAATTTAGAGTCAATAATGAAACAGAGTTTGAATTCCAGTTGAGTTCATTAGATTCACTTGTGCACAAATGACCTCGGGAAAGGTATTAATCACTTCTCATCATCAGTCATATATCAAAAAGATAATTGATTGCCCAAGCGTGTATCACATATGGCACTTAACTGACTGAATGGAACCAGTTAAAAATAAAATATAATAATTCTTCTAGAAGCCAATCCATTTTAGGAATCAATTAATCTTCATTTATTGTTACACTGAGGCACAGCCAATGAAAGGAACAAACACAAAGAGGCTTACTTCAAAGAGTAAGTAAATTTTGTTCATTTCTATCAAAAGGACTTGACACTACTTGAAAGTGAATAGTGTAAAAAGCTAACAGAACAAATGCATAGTTGTGGACTTCTTATATTTGTGTGTGTATGGGGGGGGGTCCATTCAGTTTTAATGGGTTAAATGCAAAATTTAAATTTGGCTGTTTACTGCAGACCAAGTTTTCTAAACCTGAATGTATTTTTAGAAATGTGAAAGTTTTATCTTATTCTTCCTCTTAAGCCCAAATGACATTAATACAGTTTCATCATTGAGCTGAAAAACTACAAAAAGTGATCCTGCTGTATTTGATAAGTTGAAAGTACTGTTTGGAACTAGATTCAAGAATAAATATTTTGTATATGCTTCTTGCATAGATAAAATTACAATTGAAGATCTTTACAAAAGCTCAATCCACTCATAGGCATTTTGTTTTATTCAACAAAATACCAAAAAGCCAGAATACACACACACACACACACAAAAAAAAAAAAAAAAAAAAAAAAAAAAAAATTTATAATATTCATAAAGTTTATATCTAAACCAGCCACTTTATAAGAGAATATGCATAAATAAAAGGAAAAGAAAAACCTTTATAATTCTAAGTCATTCAAACTTTTATTCATGACCTTAAAACATTAACTTTCCAATAAAAAAAGATTTTGTATTTTAAGAAGAATATAAAGAGTTACTATTCTGGCATAAAGATTTTTTCTCTTTTGAAGAGCATAGATAATTTCATGAGAATGAAAAGTCAAACATAAAAGACATGAGAAGTTTCATGACAAATATCACAAAGAAACAGTTTTCTTTGAATGTTCAGATTCTGAACACTAAAATCAACAGTTGTAAACATTAAAATACATTGGACGGCAAACAAAAAACAAAAAAAAAAACCACACAAACAAGGTTAATATGTATTTTAAATCCTCATAAAATTCTGAATTTTTTTTGGGGGGGGGGCACATGATATATAAATAAATTCATTGAAAAATTTACAGTAATGTTCTCTTTCAAATAATAGTTGGGAAATGATCAATCAAGCCTAGAATTTTTGTAGGTCCATTTTTGTGTGATAACCTTATTACTCGTCTTAATACATTAATTTACCAACTGATCAATAACATTATGAAGTATCAACAATTTACATTACAAAATTATTACTTGATATTAGTTTACCAATTACAAAGAAATTTCAACCCTGTTATTAATAAAAAAAGCTGATGCAATTATTGTCATTTTTCCCTTTATATCACTGCATCAAAAATATTTTACTTATATTATGGACCTTTTTTTTTTTTTTTTTAAAAAAAACAATCAGCCCAAAGAGTTTTTTGTGGAACTAACTTTTGAGAACATAAAAACAATTAAATGTTGACAATAATCATTTAATATTTGTTTTTGGCAATAGAAAGAACCTGTGTATATTAACAAAAATTATGCAGAAATTTTTTGTACAATATGGTAACAAAATGCTCAAGAGACTTTCATATTTACAAGAGGTGCTGAATAATTCTCAGCCTAACCCCCTCACATAACATTAAAATTAACCTTATTGAAAACAGTTTCAAATCCTAATTTTGAATTTTTAGCCGTTAAAAGTGACATTTATTCAATATTAAAAGTTGTGTAATTTTCAAGAAGTTTTTCATTGCAATCTTCAATTAAATCTAATGACTTATTTTTTTTTTTTATTTATTTTTATTAAAAATATATTGTCTAAGAGTTTTTGAAATGAAGAATTGTCATATTCCTGTTTGTACCAGCCTACTGAATTTATAACAAA